GTGAGATGATAGTGAAGAGCCACTCCCTGCCTCCCCTCTTCCTTGTTTGTATAAATTTCTACTTGCTCACTGTGATTATATTAGACTAGCTTCCCTAACCTTCCTTTCCTTTCCCACTCCCCCTGCCACACACACACTCCCCCAATATAGTTCTTCTCTCTGATCTTTTCATTCTTCTCTTAAGATCAAGATATAAACAGAATCACTTCCCGGGACTTGTATATTTAGACTCCCTGTATGATTCCTGATGATGCTAGGACTCAGAGGGGACGTCTGAACCTTCTCCTCATATTTCAGTGTAAGTAGTTTATCCTTGTTTAGTCCCACTTGGTTGCTTGTTCACGTGTACCTTTTTATGTTTCATTTAACTCCTGTATTTGAACTTCAGTGTTTGTCCGAAGCTCTAGTGTTTTCATCAAGAATGCTTGAAAGTCCTCTATTTCATTAAAGGCTCACGCCACCTGCCCCCGCCATTATACTCAGTTTTGCTGGGCCTTCTGGAATATAGTATTCCAAGCTCTCTGCCCCTTTATGTTGGTGGTTGCTAAATCATGTGGGATCCTGACTGTGAGTCCTTGGTGAATTCTTTCTTTTGCAGTGTGTTTTCTTTGGCCTGGGAGCTCTAGATTTTGGCTATGATGTATTTGGGAATTTTCCTTTTGGCTTTTTTTTCTTCCAGGAGATGACTGCAGGATTTCTTTTTTTCCTATTTTCACTTTGCCCTCTGGTCCTAGGAGATCTGAGCAGTTTTCTGTTTAAAATTTCTTGATGTATGATGACTTGCCCCTTTTGTTGGTCATAGAGTTCAGACAGTCCAGTGACTTTTAAATATTTCTCCATTTGTTTTCAAAATCAGTTGTTCGTTTTTGCAGTGAGGTACCTTACATTTTCTTCTATTTTTTTTTCAGTCTTTTGATTTTGTTTTAATGCTTCTTGTTGTCTCATGGGATTATTGGCTTTTATGTGATCTGTTCAAATTTTCAAGGAGATTGTTGCTCTGGCAAGGTTTTGTACCTCTTGTGCCAAGCTATTAATTCCATTTTTTGTTCTTTCTTCTATAAGTCTTGTTTCTTTTCCAGTTTTTTTTTCCTCTAGTGCTCTCATTTCATTGATAAAAACTTTTTTTTAGCTCTTTATAAAAAATTCTTGGGGCAGCTAGATGGCACAGTGGATAAAGCTCTGGCCTTGGAGTCAGGAGGACCTGAGTTCAAATGTGGCCTCAGACCAAACACTTGACACTTAACTAGCTATGTGACCCTGGGCAAGTCACTTAACCCTGATTGCCTCACCAAAAAAAAAAAAAAATTCTTACTTTATGACTTCTAGGAATTCTAGTTGCATGTGTGTCCAAGCTGTGTTTTTTGTTTTTGTTACTTTTTTGGTAGCTATTCTGGAGTTATTCTCTTCTCCTGGGTTTGTGTCTTAAGGGTCCTTATTCCCATAATAGCTTTTTTTTTTTCTCTTAATGGTGGGATTCTTTTTTTTGTTGCTTATTCTTCTAGCCTGCTTCCCGACCTGGGGCTTGATATTAGGCTTTGTCTACTTCTGGAGGGAAGGTCTGACCAGTCCTGTCGCTGCTTTCTTGGGGAATTGAATCCTATGTTGTTCCAAGATCTAAAGGACAGCTCAAAGTAGGGGCTTACAAACTGTTAATGCTCCTAAAGTCATCTGATCTAGAGCAGAATCTGCTTGATGCCCCCCTGGTCTGAGCTCTACAAGTTCTTGACCTGACCTACAGTAGGTAGCTGTCAGCTCCAGCCAGCTCTGTGATTCAGAGCCACAAGACGTCAAGCTTCCCTTCAGTCTGGCATTCCTCTGCAGATGATTCCTCTGCAGGCTTCAGACTGAGCTAGAAGCTGGAGCTGAAACTCCACTGTGCTCCTGGGAGCTGCTGTTCCTTACTTCCTGAACTTAATCCTCTCTCAGCACACTGCCTAGAGCCTGCGACTCCTTCCTACCCTGGAATGCTACCCCTGGGCACTGGTTCACCTTGTATCGGTGACCTGAAAATGGGTAGTGGGTGACAGTCTGCCAGATGGTACCTGTTCTTGTTGTGCTGCCTTGGTATGTGTCTGGGGGTGCTTCTGTGTGGGTCTGGGACCTCCTGTTTTCCTGGCATGCAACCTTTCCCTGTGCTGGAGTGCTTCACAGGACTACGCCTGGCCAGATCTTCTCCCCAGTTGTCTGCAGACCTCTCCGTCTCTTTGTGCTACCCTGGGCTGGAGAAAGGGCTCACTAACCTTTTCTTGGATTCCCCCATCAGGACTCAGTCTGGTGCATGTTTTGAAGTGAGGAGCTCGCTCTCCTGCTTCCTGCTACTCTTCCATTTTGACTTTGCTTCCTCTCTGTCCTTCCATTTAGCTACAGTGTCTTTCTGCTTTCTGGTGTCATTTATAGCAAAATGTCAAGATGAGTACCATTCATTTTATCCAGTAGTGTTTGTCGTTGGATAAGGATTTTCCATTTAGAGTACCAACAACAGCCAAGTGTTTCTAAAAATTAAATGAAAAAAGTAATAACCTTTCTCTACTTGGTTATGTCCCGGAGATGTTAACAAGTGAGTACAAAGGGCAGTGTTCTCCAAAAAGGATTGTGCCAGTTTGCAAATTAGGAGTAATAGAGAGAGAAAGAGAGAGAGACAGACAGACAGACAGATAGACAGACAAGACACAGAGAGATGCTTTGACCCAGCAATAGCACCTCTAGGCCTGTATCCCAAAAAGATCATAAAAATGGGAAAAGGATCCACATGTACAAAAATATTTATAGCAGCTCTTTTTGTAGAGGCCAAGAATTGGGGAATTCATCAATTGAGGAATGACTGAACAAGTTGTGGTATATGAATGTAATGGAATACTATTGTGCTATAAGAAATGATGAGCAGGCAGACTTCAGAAAAACCTGGAAAGACTTGTATGGTCTGATGCTGAGTGAAGTGAGCAGAACCAGGAGATGTTGTACACAGTAACAGCCACGTTGTTAGATGACTAATATTGATAAACTTAACCCTTCTCAGCAATGCAAGGATCTAAGACATCTCCAAAAGTCTCATGTTGGAAAATGCTGTCCACATCCAGAAAGAACTATGGAGTTTGAATGCAGATTGAAGCATACTATTTGCTTTTTTTTCTTCTGTTTTGTTTTGTTTCCTCTTTCTGATGGTTCCTTCTATTGGTTCTAATTCTTCCTTACAACATGACTAATGTGAAAATAAGTTTAATAGGAATGTATATGTATAGCCTATATTAGATAGTGTGCCGTCTTGGGGAAGAAGGTAGGGGAGGGGGAGAAAAATTTAAAACTTAAAAGCTTATGGAAGTTATTGTCGATAAAACAAAATAAATTAATTAAAAAATTCTTTAAAAAAAAGAGACAGAGATGGAGAGAAACAGAGAGAGAAGCATTTATGTAGCACCTACTGTGTATCAGGCACTGTGTTAAGCACTTTACAAATATTGTCATTTGATCCTGACAACAGCCATGGAAGGTAGGTACTATTATTATCTCTATTTTACAGTTGAGGAAACTGAGGAAAACATGATGGTTGACTTGCCCCGCGTCACACAACTAGTAAGTGTCTGATGCTAGATTTGAACTCAAGTTCCTGACTCCAGGCCCAGCGCTGTGTCCACTTTGCCACCTAAGCAGATGTAAAAATAAAAGATATCCATAAAAATAAGATTTATTAAAAAGTATTTAAAGATTCAGTACAGAAACTCATGCGTTTTGTGTTAGAAAAAGTTTACATATCTTTATTTGCTTTAACATTCACTTGTGTCAGAAAATATCATGGTTTCTAAGGCATCAGTGGAATAAAATAAAAACAGTGCTTAATGAATCTGATGTCAGCTAAAATAGTGCAGAAATGATGAAACTGTATCAGATACCACAGGGTCTTTCCTAAGAGGAAAACATCTGATTAAAAGCAGCTCTCCCACTACTGCTGGTTAATTATCAGGCAGATCTTTTCAGTAAGTCTGGGATGCCTTGGTTTTGCTGTTAATCTCTGAAATTTGTAGTTTAAAGTAAAATCTCAAGTTGAATTTGTTAGACTCATATACTCCCATTTAAAAAGTAAAATTTCATTAGCTATTTTTTTTTTCTGAAGCTAGGATAAAATTCAGTTAGAAATATCGAGCAGACCTTTCTTCCAAGGGGGACAAATATATTTTGTGGGAAAATAATACTGACATAAGTTATTGGACCTTTCAAAGCGACCTGCAGAGATGGTCCATTATTGCTGTCACTACCCCTCCCCCCTTCTCCCTCCCCCCTGTTGCTGAAAGTTCTGATTTTAAAATAGAATTTATAGCAGGGTTATTATTTTCAAATAGGTTCTACTGAAAGGGGCTACTTTAGCTGATGGTTATTTCAGAGAGGGCAGAGAGCATGGCTAGCATGACCAGCAGGATTTAGGAATCTCAGGACCTCTAGGAATTCCAGTTGTCCTCGCTATCTTCATGACCTTGGGCAAGTCACTCACTTCTCAGGATCTTGGTTTCCTCATTTGTCAAGTGAAGGGAGGGCTAGACTCAGTGACATATAAGGTCTAATTTTAGCATCTTGTACTCTTAGTTATTACTTTGTGAGTTGGTCAGTATGTCAAGGACTTATGATTTCATCAGTCTGGAAGGTCTGGCAGTGTCTACTCTGGCCCCTACTGCCTGAAGGTCAGGCGTGTTCCATTTCATCCTTCCCCCATAATTCTCCAGTACTGTTAAGGTAGGGTTAGGGGTATTTAGGCTCTCTGCCATTGACACCAGCCCCATTAATGGTGCTCCCTCAATTGGAGGAGAATTCCTGCTCCCCAGTTCCATTTAACCATATAACAGTCAGATGAGCTTTTACCAAGCACTATTCACTTCCCAGGTATGTGGGGGCTTAATCCTGCCTTTCAGCACCTCATTAGGCTCACAGTTTAGCTCAGTTCCTATATAGCACAGCCCCAAGTTCCAAGTCCAGAATTCCCCTTGGACTTGAGTCCCTGGTATCCTGGCTTCTCAGGGCTTCCCTGCTGGACTGGATGGCTGCATATCCAGCCTGGAATCCTGGCTCCGAGGTCTCCATGGGGATTCCAGGATTCCATTGCTTGTGTCTGGAACTGAAAAGACAGATGGAACAGAGCAGAACAAAACCCCAGACACGTTTCTCGGGGGGCCACAGAGTTTAAAAAGAGAGAGCAGGAGAAGGTAGCTCTTCCCCGCTCTCATCAGCTCTCTTCATGGCATCCATGCTGTGGATGAACTTGGATCTTTACCCCCTCTGGAGGATGCAGGTAGGAGAATAAGACTGTCCCTGTCCTGTAGTTTTAAAGACATTCCTGTTCTGGCTATTCAGCCAATTGAAAGAGGCTGCTCCCACCCATATTGGTGGGATGAGAGGGATTGCTGAGTGTCTTCTCCCAGAAACAGGGTGCCTCTGTGTTGAGTGGTCTGGCAATGTGCCAAAAGCCCCTCAGGTTCTAGTGATTCTCTCATGGCTATTTCAGGCTGGATTTGAACTTCAAGACCTGTACTCTTAGCTATGTAGGGCTGCCTCTTTCAGGTGACCTGGTAGGGTTTTTGCTGTGGTGGTGTTCTCTTTCTGGGAAATAAATGTTAACAGCCAATGGGCCCCCCCCCCCCGCAGTAACTGGCACCAGTATGAAGGAAAGTAGATTAGATGGTCTGTGATGTTCCCTAGTCACTGAGGTGCTGTTATAATCACAAGTGGGACCAGGTTAGGTGAGGTTTATTACATGGTAGTCTTGGACTTCCTCCTCCACCTGGCAAATGTATCCTGCTGCATTTCCAGAAGAAAAGGGAGCAAGCTAGCCAGTGTTAACCACAGGGAAGATGTGGTGTGTGTGTGCATAACCAGGTCCTTCCTATTAATAACCCCAAATTTGTAAACAGACGCAGAGGGAGTAAAAGACTAGCCATGACGCAATTTAATGACCTGCTTTCTCTAGAAGATCACAATTAGACGATGAGATGCAGAAAGGCTGTTTTAACCTGGGGGGGAGGGGATGGTGCTTGGGCTGCTGCTAGGGATTATTGTCATCCCTAAAGTCTCCAGATTTTTTTTTTAGATGCAACAACTTGACCCTGTTGAAACCTCCAATCTGAGTCATTTTGTTCTTTAGAAACTAAAGCTTTGTGCATTTTTACAAAGATGCTACCAATTCCTTCTTCCTCTTTTTTAGTAGCTGTTTCCCTAGCAACTCATCTAGCTGATGCTAGGGTGAGGTCTGTGCAGCAAACAGTCCCCAAGCCCTTACTGCAAGCTTATTTGAACTGGAAACAGATACAGAAAAGCAGAACAGATGTCTCGAGAGTGTTTGGGAAAATGGTCGTATTGAAGGTGAGGGTGATGTTTCAGAAATCCCCGATTTGAGTGCAGCTGTTTATCAGCCTCCATGGTCAGTGCCTATGAGTGAGTAGTCAAAGCTAACTCAGCCCAGTGTTCTGAATGCCCAGTTTGGACAGTGTGCCCCCTGTGGCTGCTGCCAGGATTAGCTCGTCTCTTCCGCTAAAAGAAATGGGATGGGAAACTTGGGTGGGAACGCTGCCGGCAAAAATCTGTGGTCATTGCCTGACCTGCCAGAGACAGCTATTTGAAACAAGAGAACAGCCTGACCCAGATGCCGGTGGCTGGCTCTTTGTTCAGCACTAGGCCCGGAGAAACCGTGTTGGCCAGCCAGATCAGCCCCGTGATGGATGGAGAAGAACACTAGAGAGGAAAAAAAAAATAAGGTCTTTGAAAATGGAAATGAAATGAATGTGAGAAGAAGGCTTCTCCTAGTCTACCATAATCCTTTGTCCTTTTTAGTTCCATGTAAAAAGAATCAGGGTTTTCCCTGGCTTGCCTGCTCCCAGTTTGGCAGATGCTCCTCCTGAAGTGTCCGTAACCCATGTTTTATCCACTCATCCCTGATGAGAAGGGGGCCCTCCACAAGTATTTACACCTACCTGTAGACACCAGGCTGCCGAATGACAAGAGCAGAGACAGGTAGTAAAGTTCGGGGGTGGTTTTCTCCTGCATAAGAAAGTGTCTGTGAGGAAGCATTCTTTTCCTTCATCTAGCATTGAAAATCTGCATCAGTGACGGCTTCTATGGCAAGATTGATTGATATTTCTTTGGCTGATAAAGCAAGATATAGGAAATTTACTCCCATGTCAGACTAAGCCACAAATTTAATTTCTTGCCAATACCATAAGTGGTTTTTAGATTATTCTAGGAGTATGGAATTTTAAACCACTAATATAAAAGTCCCTTGATTATCGTGTGATATCATGAATAGAGGGCTGCCCTTGGAGTCAGGAAGACAAGGGCTCAAGTCCCACCCCTGGCACACACACATTGAGCCCCTCAGGTCCGCATCTAAGGCAATAAGTTGCAGATAAGTTGCTGAACAGTATAGGTGGAGGTACTTCTCACACAAGGAGTTCCCTGTACTGATGAAATCACTGGTCTAGACTAAAAATAAAAATCCCTTAATTATTAAATTGAATGTGTTGTGGTTCCCACCACCACCACCACCACCACCACCATTAAGTCTGTTTAAATAAAGACATGGGTCTGAGGAGTCATCCCCATCTCTCCACATATAAGCATTTGTTCTTTGTATATGCTGAACATTCTAGTGGCATAACTTCCTTTTTTCAGTCAACAAGCATCTACCAAGTATCATCTGCCAGATGAGGAGGGAGGAAGGGAGTACACTCCAGGCAGGCAGCACAGCCAATGCAAAGGCACAGAGATGGGAAAGGGAGGCCACGTATGAAGAACGGGAAGGACCGTTTGCCTGTATGTTTTCTTACATGACTCAGGTTAAGATGAACCTTTAGGAGCACACTCCTTTAGAAACTTACACAGTTGGAGGCCAAGGCAGTGAAGACCATAGTACAGACTCCCTCAGCAAAGGAGGCGATACCAAAAACCACAAAGAGCCCACCCCGTGCCTTGGGCCCTGGTTCCACCTGAGTGAGGAGCACAGCCAGGCCTGAAAGGAGAAGAGGCAAACAGTGGGCTGTGATGAGGACAGCTTAGCTTATAATTGTTTCCTTCAGTGCAAATTCACCTCATGTATCTGTTTCTATGTCTGTATATCTATATCTGCACACACACACACACACACACACACAGAGGAAATGCAATAGCTAATTTTGTTTCTGTGTGTCAGTTCTGAGAAAACAGAGTAGTACCCAGGAAATGACCTGTTTGTCCCCTGTAGTTCAATATTCAATTAGAATGGTCAGGAACTTACCAATGGTGAAGAAAGCAAAGATGATGTTAACCACCAGATTGCCAAGGAGGGGCTGGCTGCAGTAGTGGGCAGACCTGGGCCTGGAAATCAATGTGCCACATGACAGTTTAATCCCCAAACCTGCAGGCTCACCAGTGACTTGGGAGCTACTGGCCCCTCTCTAGCCTCAATTCCATCTGGAGCTCTGGGCAGCTGGGTTTTCAGTTGTCCATTCCCTCCCCCCCCCCACCCCCAGCCATTAGTGAGGCTGGAGATAGCCCACAAGTCACAAGGGGGTTATTTCATAGAACCAAACTGCTTTGAATATGAAACATTATGTGAGGGAATGCTGCTCTGTATTTCCAATTCACATTAATGTGATGTTTTGATGAGGGAATGATTTTATTTTCTTTGTAACAGTAGATAAGTGATATGAGAGACAGGATGATGTAGTAGAAAGTGTGCTGGATTTGGAGATGGGGACCTGGGTTCAAATCCCAGCCCTGCCCTGGTAGTAACCTGTGGGACTCTGGCTTCATTTCTTCATCTACAAAATGAAGGGGTTAGACAGTGACTTCTCAGGTCCTTCCCAGCTCTCAGTCTACGGAGTCATGAGCCTGTTTTAAATTGTCCATCTTCTGCAATAACAATCATAGATTGAAAGCTGGAAGGGACGTGAGAGGTCATCCCATCCAACTCCCGAGTTCCTAGTTGGGCTGATCCTGTGGGCATCTAAAAGAGCTAAGTCTTTTCTTCTGTCTCAGGTTGAGCTCAGGTCTGGGCCTTTTGAGCTCCCACATCACCAGCACACACTTTCTTGATGCCAAGCACAGTGTCAAGTGCATCAAATTGTCCTCGTCTTCACTGACTTAGTGGCGGAGTCCTTCATTGGCCTCATTCTAGTTTTCTGGCAGAGGATCTTTGGAGGGAGCTTTGTTCTGTGATTTTAGTTGGGTCACCCTCAGCCCTTAGAGACATTAGCTAATGTTGCACTGGTAGGAATTGGTCCCTAGGGCATGCGGAGATTGTAACAATGAGCTTCTCTCGATGTCTCATTTTTAATGGCTTTGGATGTACTAAGAAGCGGGTCTTGCTCTCAGGTTATACCTAAACCAACCCGCCTCTAGCCCACCTAAAACTTAACATTAGAAATTTTGTATGAATCATTTTCTATCTTCAAAGAGGTGACTAGATCTGAGTGGAGCCAGGAGAAGAAACCATGGGACAGGCTGCAGTTAAATTCTTTTCAGGGAGTCACAGCTTCTCCACAGGTAAGACAAGCTTTAGGTCTCAGCCTTGAGGTGCCCAGACTCCCACACACAATAGCGTCAGCTGCAGGGGCTGGGAAAGCTCTTACCTGAGCAGGACCCAGGAGTGAAGGAACAGAATGGCCAGTCAGAGAAGAGTATGGTCACCTGGCTGAATACAGTTTGTTCATTACTTATTCAGGGGTAAGATCATCTCCCAGAAGCCAGCTTTGGGTTTTGTTACAAGGCAGCGAGTGCAGCGTGAAAATGCTGCAGCTGTTCTTTGCAGCCTCGCCACGATTCCATGTCCAACGCCTATCCTGTTGGCCTCACGGTGTGGCTAACTGCCTTGGGAACAAACCTGGATCTCTAGGTTATCTCTAGCACCAGCCAGGCCCTCTTCCTAAGGGAATAGACTCCTTAGAGCTTTTCTCTCCCAGTTCCAAAGAGAGCTTCCAGTTGAGTCTAGAACACAAATCATTGTCAGGATGTGCTTGTCATTGTATACTTGGGATACGTTTCATCTAATTGAGGACTCCCTGGGCCCGGGGCTGGGGCTGCCCACTTCTGTCCTCTCTGGCTTCAGATGACATAGTAATGTCATTCAGACCCTTTGCAATTGGAATGGTTTTTTTAGGGGAATTGAGTGGTATCAACTCTCTATAACCCCCAACTTTTTTTTTTTTTTTTGGTAATGTTGCAAACAAGACATTTATTTTTGATACATATTTGCCATAACTTCTATATCCACATGTGGAGTGTAGACACCTTGGCCCCAGTACATTTAGTTTAGCAATACTGCCATTGCTGTAGATATTTTTGGAACTCCTCTTTGGGAATTGATTTCTGAGCAGGCATATGAGCATTAGAACAAAATCCCTCAGACCCAGAATTGGCAGTACCTAGCTTGCTTGCCTCCCTGTTTTCCAGACTTGGCTCTGAGACTCGGGTATTTGCAGAAATTAAATACACCCTCAAAGGAGCCACCATGGAGGATATTCTGAATTATGTGTTGGGAGCCCTTGAGGCGGACTGCTTGGAATAAGACAGCCCTCATTTGGATGCCTAAATTCTGCTCTCTTTGGAAAAAAAAATGAGGCACTGCTTTAGTAATTCCTCCTAAACATAGGTGCCTCTTGTGAATGTGCGGCATTGTCACTTGGAGAACTGGACAAATAAAGATTCTGGTCCCTTTTCTCTTCTCACACTTTCTGTTCTGATCTTTGAATCTCAGTAATTTTTTATTGAGCAACTTGACTTGGCTAATGCCTCAGAGAGAAATAACAACTCTTCCATATTTAGGCATGTTCTCTACCCTCTCCAGCCCTTCCATATGAGGTCACCACCCACAGTTTAAGAAGTGCTGAAGGGGTCACAAGTGGAAAAGGTTTAAGAAGCCCTGCTCTAGCCAACAGTTTAGAGGTAGAGATACTTACAGCCTGAGACGAGTGGGTCTGGGAAGCCAGTGGTATAAGTGATAGGCTGTGTGCACCAAACTAAAGTAAATCATGGCTCAGATAATCCTTGAACACCTATAAGAGCAAGGAGAAACCAAAGCCTTGTTGTTAAACCTCTGAAGTCAGGAGTTCTCATAATGCTGGGACCCTTTGGGCAGTCTGGTGAAGCCTGGGGACTCTTTCTCAGATTCATGTTTTTAAATCCATAGAGCAAAATACATAGGATTATAAGAGAAACCAATTATATTGAAATATAGTTATCAAAACATTTTTTAAAAACAAGGTCATGGACCCAGGTATCTATCTCTTATGCCTTACCCAAGCCTCTCCTTCAGGGGGGTGGAAATCCCTGTCCCCTGAGTCATTCCTGGTCCTCAGTTTGGGGGTCAGATGGAGGCTTCCCTCTGCATGGTTTCTGCTCTCCCAGGCTGGCTGTGCTTCTCAGTGACTCCCATTTGAGAATAGTGACAGAAGCTTGGGACAGGCAGAGCTGGAATACTCCTGGCTCAGGTGACAGTAGTCAACTCAGTTGGCCTGCCCTCATCCCCTACCCTCCCAGCTTCACTTAGAAGTGCAGTCAGTTGTTGACAGGGAGTGATGCAGTTCAGTTTGCCCAGGAAGGTTGAATCCCTGACTTGGTTGCCATGGGAGCCAGAGGGAGACAATTGGCCATAGTCTTGCTCTAGCAAGCCTGGTTTAATGCCAGTTCTTTTCCAGTGGAAATTGGACTAGCATTTTCTACTTAAACAGCTCTGAGCACAAAATAAGTGTCCATCAGTTGTAGACTGGCTAAAAAAGAAACTAGTATGTGAATGTCGTGTCATTATGTGGAAATACATGTCTAATGTGAATAGTTCAGAGAAACTTGGGAAGATTGTATGAACCTATGTAGAATGAAGTAAGCAAAACTAAAAGAAGAGTGTGTGCAATGACAAACGTGAAGTGATCACAGAAAGGAAAAGGAATGAATTCCAAGGGAGTGAAAATCAATCATGGTGCCAGAGGAGAGAGAATGAAACACTTCTCTCTACACATTAGAAAAGGAGAGTGGGAACAGAATGCTACACACACTGTCAGATGGGGTCACTGTATGGAGTGTTACTTTCTTTGTAAAAGGGAGAATTTAATCTAGGGAGAGTAGGAGGAGAGGATGTTTCCAGAAATGGCCATAACATAAAAGAAGACAAAAAACATTTCAGGGAGAAGAGAGTTAAGAGAATGGTAATGAGGCACCCACAGCAGGTGGGGGTAGATTTTAGACATACATGAAAGAAGGCAAGTCATTAATATGTAAACCTTGAAAAAAAAAAGATTCAGTGTTGGGGCTGGTTTTGGGTTGAATATACCTTACTGATTTGGGAACTTGAAACTAAATAAGACACTGATCAGATAGGATAGATTTAGAGCTAAAGAATCTTAGAGGTCATCTTATCCAACCCTCCCATTTTACAGAAGAGCAAACTGAGGCCCAGAGAAGTTAAGTGACTTAACCAAGATCAAGGTAGAGTGATCGATCAATCGATAAAACTTTAAACCTTTAGTATGTGCCAGGCACTGTGATGAACACTGGGAATGCTTGCCCCCATAGAGAACACATTCTAATGGCATGTGTGGCAGAGTATCTGGGAGGTGGTAGGGAGGCCTGGCTCCCAGCAAGATCAGGCAGGCGCTAACCTCTCCAAGAACACTAGAGCCAAGATGGAGGAGAAGGTCCAAGTGGAGATGGAATGTCGATTCTTCCTCAGAAAGGCCTCTCTTATGCCCCTTCCTTTCCATTTTCTCTACCACCACCCCAGATTTTCATTTCACAGCTGGACCGACACAGGAGCCTCCTGACTGTTCATGTCTCCAGCCTCTCTCCTTCCTATCTCATATATTCCTACAAGATGAGCCTTCCTGGAAGACTGCATTGATCACTTGATTCCACTACTGAGAAACCTTCGATTGCTACTCGTTGCTTTTTGAGGATAAACTTTCCATTCCTAACCTCTCACTGGGCCGGCCCCGAGCCACCTCTCCAACCTGATCTGTTGTTATTCCTTCATAAAAAAGAGCACTGAACTGGAAGCCAGAGGACAATTCTCAGGACCATTCTGCTCAGTTATTGATGGACTCTGAGCTTTATCTGTTAAATGGCTGCAGTGTTGGTAGATCAATGAGGAAGCAAGTGTGTCTCATGGGTGGCATTGAAGATCGGTTCAGTTCTTTTTAATGTATAATATTTTACTTTTTCACAAATTACACGTAAAGACAATTTTAACATTTATTTTTAAAAAATTTTTGAGTTCCAAATTTTTTCTCTCCTTCTCTCACCTTCCCCCTACCCTTGGGACAGTAAGCAATTTGATATGGGCTCTACATGTTCAATCATCAAAATATGTTACCGTATTAGTCATGTTGTAAAAGAACACATGAACCCAAAGGAAAAAAAATACAGAAAGTGAAAAATAGTATGCTTCAATCTGCATTCAGACTCCATCAGTTCTTTCTCTAGAGGTGGATAGCATTTTTCATCAGACTCCTTTGGAACTGTCTTCTATCAATGTACTGCTGAGAATAGCTAAGTTATTCACAGCTAATCATTGTACAGTATTGCTGTTACCGTGTACTATGTTCTCCTGGTTTTGTTCACTTCGCTTGGTATCAATTCATATAAGTCCAGGTTTTTCTGAAATCAGCCTGCTCATCATTTCTTATAGCACAGAGTATTCCATTACAATCATATACTGCAACTTGTGCGGTCATTTCCAATTAATGGTCATCCCCTCAATTTCCAATTTTCTGCTACTAAAAGAGCTGCTGTAAATATTTTTGTACAGAGATCCTTCTTTGACTATATTGTTGCACAGCATCCTTGTTTTAGCAAACAAAATGTAATTTATATCATAAAGAAGACATAAAAAAAGTTAGGAGTAGAGAAAATCTATTTCACCCTGTGACATAAACATAGGTCCTAACAGATCAGATTATTATCTTATATACACACATACATACATACATACATACATACATGTGCATATATATATATATATATATGTATATAAATAATCTAATCTGAAATAAGTCCACAAACTATATCTGACAACTTTAGGAGAAGTGAATGCCACTATTCCAAATGTATGGGATGGTTATAAACAAAGCAACAGTATTTGTCTTATATAATTATTAAAATAAAGCAGTTCTTTCATTCCACAGTAGGCATTTTCTTATTTTCTAATGCAATGCAGCTGCGTCTCACTACACACGAATTCTCTAGTCACTAGTGAGACATCTCACTGTACTATCTTAAGCTATCTCCCTCAACAGATGCTTTATAAAGCATTTACTAAATGCAAAGCACAGTGGCAGGTGAGGACTAAAATGTCACTAGCTGACTTGTTCCCATTTAAAAATTTATTAGAGTGTAAATTTTTTGTCACCAACAAAGACGGGAAATACACACATTGCATACGCAATAAATGTGTACAGATGACAAAGCAAATAATCCATGGCAGTCACTCATAACATATTTTAGCGATAGGGTTATCCTTCCTGAAATGCATCATGTCACCTTTTACAAATGAGTTTCACGATTGGTTGGCTTTTCTCATTACAGAATCTGAATTGGAAAGAACCATGTAGCTATCATTCTACTGGCTTTAGGAAAATAATCCCTTCTACAATAATCTTTTCTGTATTTCAGAGGTTTCCCTTTTTTTTTTGCCCCCTGGGGAATGGATGACCTGGGAAACGAGTTTCAAATAGCTAGATTCACGAAAGCTGCTGGTTCCAGTAATGCCTTTGGGCCTGGCTGTGCTATAAGGAGGTCTGTTCCTATGGTGTATGTACCCAAGTCATGGCTCAGGAGAGGAGGTTTGTCATGGGAGCTTTCTTGAACCTGGATGGGGGCAGGGGGCAGAGATTCCACCAGGCCTAGTCCTGCCCCTATAAATATCCTGCTTTTTGGGGCAGCTAGGTGGCACAGTGGATAGAGCACCGGCCCTGAAGTGAGAAGGACCTGAGTTCAAATCCGGTCTCAGACCAAACACTTGACACTTACTAACTTTGTGACCCTGGGCAAGTCACTTAACCCCAATTGCCTTTAAAAAAAAAAATTCCACTTTATCTGAATTGTGTTTATCTTCTGAAAACAACAATGGGTCACGAAGGTACCTGTGTTCTCCTGAAGTAACACAGCCTTGACTCCAATGGTCTAGTTCTTGGGTATGCTTGAGGCTACTTTTTTCTTGGGAAGAGAGGGCCAATAAGGAGCCTGTGGGAATAAGGAAGCTGGTGCCCTTTTGGAGCACGCTCATTTTCTTTGATGATTCTCTGTGGTCTCCAGTTGCCTGCATAGGAGGATCCCTGCCATCAAAGAGACTCCAAATGCCACTGTACAGGAGGCTTATCCTAATCTCCTCACTCCAGTTGTTTGTGCTCTACCCCTTTGAAAGCAAATGTTCCCTATTGGGAAAAAACACAAACAAAAATCCTTCCTTTTCTCTCTCTCTCTCTCTCTCTCTCTCTCTCTCTCTCTCTCCCTCCCCCAATATCTTTGGGATACAGACCTTAGAGTGGTATTGCAGGTTAAAGGGCACGCACAGTTTAAAGGTTTTTGGCCAGAGTTCCAAATTGCTCTCCAGAATGGTTGGATCAATTCACAACTCTACCAATAGTGCATTAGTCTTCTAGTTTTCCCAACTGCCCTCCAATGTTTATTATTTTCCTTTTCCGTCATATTAGCCAATCTGATAGATAAGAAGTGGTACCTCGGGGTTGTTTTAATTTGCATTTCTCTAATCAATAATGATATAGAGCATTTTTTCATATGACTATAGATAGCTTTGATTTCTTCATCTGAAACTGCCTGTTCACATCCTTTGACCATTTATCAATCGAGGAATGATTTGTATTCTTATAAATTTGACTCAGTTCTCTATAAAATGAGACCTTTATCAGAGATATGCTGTAAAAATTGTTTCCCAGCTTTCTGCTTTTCTTCCAATCTTGGTTGCATTGATTTTGTTTATATAAAACCTTGTTAATTTAATGTAATCAAAATTGTTCATTTTAT